TATATATATATAAATATTAATGTGCATGTATATATATAAAGTACATTAGAGAAAGATTAATATTAATAGTTAAACATAAATATAAAATTTAAGAACTGCACTCATACAAAGTAATTACCATATTAAGTTACAATTTCGCTCCAAACGAAATTACATTAAAAGACTTCCAACTGTCACTCTGCAACTGTTAATTTTTGTTGCTGATTACTGATTACGAATCATGATTACGTCATCTATTTCTTATTTTCTTTCCTCTCACTGCAAACTTTTTTTACGATACTTTTTACGAGCGGATACTTTTTTAATATCATATTAAATATTACAAAAAATATCTGCAAAATTGGAGAATCACCACCATCATGTTATTTGCAAAACGTCTATATTATCTAACTATGATGTCAAACATTGATGTTTAATATTTACAACAGCAAATAGAGTGATTCTAATACATACTTGTCCATGTACTCTCCATGAAGCACAGCTTCACAAGCAGTACATTTGAAACACCATATATGCCACTCTTTGTCTAAGGCTATAAGAGCATGTCCTTCTTTTAATTCTTCCTTACAGCCAGCACATACTAGAAGAAAACAAAGATATTTACCATACATTTAATAATACTTTTTACAGTACACAAAAAAGCGAGCAAGCCTTAATCAGGTTGTGTAGCAAGATTTTTCAATAAAAAATAAGTGTCAGTACTTTTTAAGCACTCAAAAAATATTTTTTTAATCACTTTAAAAAAAAAAAAAATCATAATTAGGATCTGTGCAGTAATAAAAATTATTTCTTTATTAAAGTTCTTATTTTATAAACATAAAATCAACAAAATTCAAAAACATTTTCAAAAATTTTTACATAATCATGATAAAACAACTAGTTTCTGATAAATACTGAAGAGAAAATTGGGGATTTCATGCATTTTTCGTAATTTAGAACGACAATCGATATGGGGAAAAAATCTCTTTTTAAAAGATAGAAAATTAAGCACTTTTTACAAACCCTAAATAAAAAAAGTACCTTTAAGGGCTTTTAAAAAACGTAAATCAAAAATAAGCACTTTTTAAAAATGCTACGCACTCTGTTAATATTTTGAGGGACAAGAATTCAAATAAAAAATATATATACAGTATACTATAATACATAAATACTATAATACAGTATACTATAATACATAAATATATATACAGTCTTGATAACTCAAAATTAAAGGGACACTATAAAAATTTCGAGATAGAGAGTTTTCGAGATAACACGTTCAGAACTAAATATGTTCTGAGAAGTAGAAAAATATAATCTAAAATATTGCTCTAAAAAATAAGAGTCAACTACTAATAAATATGGATGTAATGATAGTTGACTATAAGTCTAAATACAACAAAGATAATTTTATTTCCAAAAATAATTATGCATTGAATAGAAAAGGATTGGTTTACAATAAACTTACATTGTGATTTTTACAAAAAATTTGCTTTCTATTTCAAAAAAAAATTGACATAACAAGGTTTGGAGAAGAAACTCTTCGACATAGGAATTAAATGTATATATAATGCCAAGGGGAAAATATATATATACTTTTTTGACAGAAAAAGGTTTTCTAGATATAGAAGTTTGAGATATCGAGAGTATACTGTATATACACCAAAAGTACATTTTTGTGTTTGTTTCCGTAACTTAAAATATCGTTTGCACAAATTAATTATCATACGTAGGGTTAGATCTTTAAACGAGATCTTTAGATTGAGCCCTAATACGTAAAAGTCCGATTTTTAAATCGAAACTCATAAAAGTATTCTATTTTTTGGGCACTTTGCTTAAAAATTTATAAGTGAAGTCAAATACAAATTTACAAAAACCTAGCTAATTCTCAATTTATGTAAGCAAAATTAATAAAATAAAATTAATTTTTACTTTTTATATTAAAAAAACTTTTTTTTTGAATTGTAAGAAGCTACTTCCAGCCAGATTTGAAAATAAAAAGGCTACATTAACTAATACTTGATAGGTGTTACCATTTATTAAAATAAAGGATATACAGTTAAAAATAATTTATCTGAAATTACTGGTAGCTTATGATGGCCAAACATTAGTGAATGGAACAAAAAAGAAGAAAAAAAACATTATATAAGGAAAAAGTTACAGAAATGTACAAAAATTAACAAATTAATAAAAAAGAGAGTGAGGGAGAGCAGAATGAATGAGTGTGCGTATTAAATTACTTTTACGAGTTGGTCCATTCTGTATTTGAGATTCTTGGGTTGGAGATTCGGCTGATACAATAGGAATCTGAATACATTTTGTACAAAGGATATCTTTGCCTGTATATGTAACTTTTTCCCCAGATGGAAAAGGTTGCCTGAAAACAAAATTTTTCGTTTTAAACTATAGAGATAAAACATAAAATTTTTCACTCAAGTTCCAAAAACTAATGCTGTATCATTTCTAGTACTTCTCTAAACGATAATACGTATTAAATATCTTTTAATTAAGGGCAAACAATTACAGTTTTCTTTATATTTCCATTATATTCTGTAACAATAAGTTTGAGAAATTAAAGCACTGAGAATGACCATGACTCTATAATAAATTATTTTGAATATGTAACAAATGCAAAATTGTCAAAACTGCAATTTCTGTAAAAGTATACCAAAAAATTTCTAATTCATTAATAGTGCTTTATAGATAATACGATATTTACCTAATTTTACATATGACTAGCCATAAAATTCACATTTACATAGTTCAAACTTACATTACAGTATAATATTAAAGTGCACACATCTTAAAAGGTTAACAAAACTTATTTTAATTGTTTTTCATTTTAAAAAGGTGTAGTTACATATTAAGTTTTTAATAAGTGAAAAATACATTTATCCATATAGGATGGTGAGAAACAGAAATTTTGGGCACATAACAGGAATAATGCATCTTTTTTTGGAGGAGGTGGTCATCAATAACAAAATATCTGCATTAAAAGATATTCCATACAGAACTTAAAGTGTTCCAACAGAAAAAATGCTTAAAAATCTGGCAACTTAGAATACACAACTTACTGCATCCAGCATATTTAAAAACAAATAAAATTGTTGATACAATAATACAAATGAATATTGACGTGCAACAAATTTAAGTTCATTTACAAGCACTATACAGAATGCTGTAAAATAGTATGCGCCTGAATACCATAGATTGATTTTAAAAAAAAACATACTCCAGGGAAAAACTGGTTAATGTAGTACAGTACAGAACCCGTTATCCGGAAATCAGAAAACCAAAAAACCGGAACGAAATCGATAAATTTTCCCGCCATTTAAAAAAAAATTTTTTTTTCCTCATAAGATTTCAGGATTTTTCTTTCTTTTTTGAAAGATGTTTACCTTACCATCATTTTGGAAATAATCNTTTAAGTTAATTTACAAGCACTACACAGAATGCTTTAAAATAGTATGCGCCTGAATATCATAGATTGATTTTAAAAAATACATACTTCAGGGAAAAACTGGTTAATGTAGTATTATAAAGGGGTAATATTAACCAGATTTACCATAAATGATATAGTCATAATCATGTCTTAGTTGCTAAAATGTATCGTCAATGTAGGAAATAAAAAAGGCTATAATTGCAGTACTCTTGTACCAAAAAGTTTTTTATTTGTTAATAATTTGTCATAACTTATTGCTATAATTGAAATAGAAGTATTCATTGAATATTAAAGAAAAATATTTCGTGAGATATTTTTTATAACAGATTTAAATTTCAGGTAACCTATAACTAAAGTATTGGCTATTATCAAAACTATAATGATGTATAAAATATGAGTAAAATATTTCAATATTATAAAATTCCTAGAAACTTCAATACTTCATTAAAAAGACTTAAAGATACATCTGATGCAGCAAAAATACATGAAATAATCTACAGTTCCAGGCCCAATTATTAGACGCACAATAAGATTCTATGTAGAATCTCTGGTTTGCACTTGTTTATGTTCGTGAATCAATTGGTTAAATAAGACAATATACGATATAAATTCAACGATTGGATTAAGTCGACGATATATTATATAAATATAGAATATTTATTATATCAGGTATTATATTAGTNACAGTTTCTGTTTCTGCAGAATCTTTTTTGAGAACTTTTGTTTTTGCCAAACCCAAAAATTTTGTTTCCCAAATAAGAAAATCTTTCTGCAAGAACTCAGTCCCTTTCTGCGACAATGTCGCTGTGTCGCCGTGTTTCTGCCACAGGGCATGCATGCAATGGGTTTTCATTCAGGAGATTTTTTATATACTTCCTATTTGTATTTATTTTTAACGTATTGCATTACCATGTTAACCACTGGATACACAAACATAAACAAGCGTAAACCGGTCTCAGCCACGTAAAAACCGTAATGCTGTATAGTATCACCTGATAATTAAGATTTTACAAAGAATCTTATTGTGCATCTAATAATATGGCCAGAAACTGAATATAATGGTCATTTTAAGACCCTTTATGTAAAATTATTATCATTTAACATATAGTGTCAGGCATTTAAGTGAGTAAGAAAAATAAATAACATAAAATTAAAAAAATAATTACATATTAATACAAAGCAATACAACTTTTTAAAAAGTAATTCAGATACATTATATTTAAAACAAATGGAACAAATATTGAACTATTAGTTTAGCACATATTTAAAAAATATTTTATTAGTTGCTTTAATTAATATCTTTTTTTTTTTAGCAGGATATGAATAAATAACTAAATTCTAATTTCTGAAGAAAAACAGTTGCAAAGTAAATATATATTACATGGCCTGCCAAGGAAAAATGCCGATAACACTTTCAAGATAAATGTAATTAAATTTTTAACAATAAGTTATCATTAAAAGAAGAAAAGGAGCAAATATAAACTCACCTACAACTAGCACATACAAAGCACTTTTGGTGATAAGTATTCCCCAGGGCTGTGACTACTTCTCCCTCTACATACTTTTTGCATTCTGCACATCTTGTACCAAATAGTTTTTGGTAATCTTTAGAACAGTAATATAGACCTTTATTAAGAAAAAACCCTCCTTGAGCAAGAGATGCAGCACATTCTGAAATCAATGTATCACGTTAATTACATAGATTTTCCAAATATCTGAGTTGCATGAATGAAAAATATTAGTCACAAACACATTGCAATGCATCATCAATAAAAAAAAGTGACCAAAAACATTTCAAATAAATTCCGTGTAGAAAGTATACAAATTTAAATAGTGATACAATGCTAATTTTCTAAATTAAAAATGGTACATAATTTCATTCTGATTGCTGACATTTTAGGTTATTCAAAGCAGTTTTCCAAAAGATTGGGAATATTTCCGTATCGTAATCTGTTGCGCCAAATATAATCAGCAATGTGCCAAATAGATTTTAAACTTGCAATTTTTTTTTAAAAAAAATAATAAATATGTAGATGTTTGTCTGGGGGTGGGTACGAGTTTATACCTTTCAAGTTGGTTCCTTTTTGNTCGAGTAGGCCCCTTACTGTGATGTTTTTTTTTTTTTTTTAGTTTCTCGCGGGCCACTGCCCGGAACTTGCCGAGGCTCGGCGATTATTCTGCCACAGATCAGCGATACGGAAATCTCCCCAGAAGATTTTTTATCATATTAAATTATGCTTTTTAGTGAATACTGAATAATATGCTTATTTTAATACTATTCTGAGTTTATAAAGGCCATTAAATCTCGTCAGATTGGAGGTTTTTTTCAAGTTAATTTTTTTAATTACTAAAACTATTTGCGATATTAAGTTCATTTTTTTCCAACAAAATAGTATATATACATATATATAGGTCTCTCAGAAACAGTTAATATATATATACACCCTATTTATGCTTTTATTTTCATATTTTGTAATCTGGCAAATTTTTCTGAAAATATTTGAAATCTTTTTTTAAAAAAAATTTTTAACAATTTTTTTATTATTCTCCTATAAATATTTTTTCCCGTGTTTTCTCAATATTTTTAAGTTTTATATTTATATTTTTTCTCGAAGCATTTATTTATTTATATATATATATATATATATGTACACCACAGGTCAAAAGTTTANATATATATATATATATTTAAGCTTCACAACAAGTTAAAGGAAGTGAACAAATTATCTCCATTTTCGAAAACTATATGATTTTAGAAATTAAAATTTAGCTAACATAAAGCTACTTTTGAAACTGAAATAAAAATAATTCAAGAATAGAATTTTAAAAGAGAATTGCAAATAACAATAATGTACTTTTCATAAATAGAAAAAGTCATTGATCACTAAACCACAAAATTTAATGGCAAATATTTTATAATCTTATTTATATAATTTGATAGTAAGAAGGAAAAAAACTTCATTAAAAGATGATTTAAAGAAAAAGTAGGGGTAAGATAATATTTTTCCAATACTTCCTAGGAAGTTTCTAAACAAGTTCCTAAAAAAATTTCGAAACATAAAATAAAGAAAATAAAACAAATTTAGAAAGTCATCTTTTTTATTTTGTCAGCCCAAAACAACACTATTGGAATAACATTATCTACAGATGAGTGAATCCAGACACCATTAAATTCACACCAGAACCAATAAAGCGAATTGAGCTATTTTATTTGAATAAATAATATAAAGTGATATAGAAATAAAAACCACAAGTGAAATGTACTTGTAAAACCAGACGTCTACTGAAGGAGGAAAACTCAAAGAGTGAAATTTAAAGAAATTTTTTTTAATGCTCTTTTAAGAACAAGAGTTTTATCTTTTTTGAAAACCTATAAAAATATTTAAGTAAAGAAAAATCACATTCTTATTTATTTATGGTGAAGTTATGGGGACAGATAACCATAAAAATGCTTTTTTTTTTTTTTTTTTTTTTTTTTTTTTTTTTTTTTTTTGTGGTGCAATCTTCACTTTACCTAAGCATTTACTTACTGAAAAAAAAAAATTAATTAAAAACACACACACTGAAAATTTATTGAGTTATAAATCTAAAAATTTTTTTAATTACATTTGATTAGCGACGCCATTTTCTCTCGCTTACATTTCCTTTCCTCACCGTTTCCGCTTTTCTTTTATAAAGCAAAGCATTCCCGCAACAGCCCTTTATGGGTCAAAGACCGGGTGGCATAGTATTCTGCCTTTTGCGTCAAACAGTGTAAAGAGAACCGTAGTGGCTCAGATGATAGAGCGCTCGTTTCCCAGTGAGGTGATTCGAGTTCGATTCCCAGTGATGGCAGGTCGAAATGAAATCCGCAAACAAGGCTAAGGAGTTAAAAATTAGTAGTTGTAAATTCAGAATTGGGTCGGCTGTTCAACAACGGTTAAATTACGAAAAAAAAAAATAAATAAATAAATAAAAACTAGCGTGAAGAGCGTAAGTAATAATCAATTAAAATAATAAGCAATAACCATACTTACTATCACAGTAAAACATGCCGAAATATCAGCGTAAATGTTATTTAAATAAATAAAAAACATTTATTTTAATACATTTAAAAAATTAGGGTCATTAATACTTAACCACTATAATAAAAAAGTAAGGGACGTCTTAACCCCGCCCCGCCCCAAAAGGGGCATACGGCGAATAATAAAAAAGTAAGAAAAATAATGGAATGTTTATATCAAAATAAACGAACCGAATAAATATCATTAGCCAAAATTCGAATATTTTTATCCTTCGTAATAAAAGAAATTAATTGGAATGGGTAGATAATTTTCCAGTAAATGAGAAAGTATTTAGCAGAAACAAAAAAGATCAAAATATGTAATTAAAGAATGATAAATATTAACCTGCACATTTGAAACAATCTAAATGGAAATATCTATCTTGAACTCTAAGAGCATTGCCACTACATTTTTTCTTGCATACTTCACACAGAACTTTACCTATAAATAAAGACAAAGACAATCAACATATATTTTTTCACATTGCTCATCATAACATCGTGTTTCACAACAGATAAAACATTTCACATTTATCATTTAAGTAAAAAGGAAAAATAGTTAAGTATAAATAATTATAAATAACAAAAATGTCATAAATCATATATCATATACCTGATAAAGTAAGAAAATAAGTACTTAAATAGAGCTGATTCTAGAAACAGGTGATGGAATTGTTAAAGAAAGCAACACATATTGTATAAAAATAAACAAATAAAAAATCATTATAGCACTTTTTTAAAAAGATGGTTTTTTATGTTTCTTTACAATGCGTTTGACAATAAGTGTATAGTCAGTTAAAATCTTTCTGCCGCATCAATCTATTTTTTACCACGTTATTATAATAAGGCACATACAGCTTTAATTTTTTTTTTTTTTCTAAATCGCTGAGAAAAAATCTCTTAACTAACAATTTAAGGTAAAAAGCAGAAAAGTGGTAATCAAATTATTTCGGTTCATTTCCATCATGCACAATGACTCATTAAAGACTTATTTTATTTTCTACTGCTAAATTTAAAATAAAAATTACGGGAGTGTACTTAGAATTAGCATAAATTAGATTTGTTCGAAGTAAAGTGAAAGCAAAAGCCACACCACTATTTTCGCTAGCACTTCTTATCTTTTCACCTAATTGTCGACAACCTGTTAAACGTCAATCAAAAAAATAAATAAATAAAATAAAATAAAAGAAGGAAGTATCACCAGGGTAACAAAATATTATTCGATATCATCAACGAAATTATAGCATTATATTTTATTTAAAATTATAGATAAAAAGAAGAATGTTAGAAAGTATAAAAAATGGCGACATTTTTCCAGACATTTCCAACTATAATTAACAAAATTCCAGACATTTGCAACTATAAATCATACCAATAGCAACTTAAAAAAGAAATTTTAAAATAGCGTTAAACAATTTCAACTTTACTATTGAGAAATGAATTTTTAAGAGATAAAGATAGAACTTTAATTTCTTGAATATCGATACCAATTTTTTCTTCTTCTAATTAGTGAGCAACAAGACAAATGTGACATCCATGTGGTAGCATTTCAACGAAAGTAAAAAATAGGTATTTCAAATTCGAACGAAATAAAGTTCAAGATAAAAAAAGCCTACAACAGGAAAAGTATTCATAGTTTCTGCATGTCTCACAAATTTGTAACAATGAAAGATGGTAGTAAATTTTCATTAATTAAATTAAAAAATAATCAAATCCCAGAATAAAGAATTATGCTTCTCTGATAACCATTCTTTTTCTCAGTTCTTTTTTCAGCATATGCATATACCGAAAACAAAATTCAGAACTAGTCCAGGTTTGTGCATTGAACTGTTCGACATGAAATTTATAATTTTAAGTCCATTATTGGTAAAACGATGACTGAACAAATTTCATTCTTCACATTAAATATTGATCAAAATAATTTGTAGTTTATTATTTTGGTTAGTATAATCACAAAAACTAATTTTATTCATTAACTTGGGGGTTCCACTATAAGATGATCGATCATAGAGGGATACGTTACCGTAAAAAAAATTAAGAACCACTGATTTAGCATTAAAATAATAATTCTCTTATTTCCTCATACTTTATGCTGGACATAAAATTTCCGACAGAAAGAAAGAGTAGATATAGATACCTTTTTATAACTATCATAAGGAATAGGAAGATTATTTTTGAAATAATTTCCGGAAGGAAACCGGAAAGAAAAAAAAAACTATGCTCTTCAATCACTTTTAACACCATTGCTCTATACAAAAACCGGAATGACAAAGCTGTTATCACTGCATTTAAAATTTCCTGTAAATCACGAACTATTTCCTATTTTCATAAATAAATAGGGAATACTAACAAATTATGAAATTTCACTTTAGATTTTCCTATCCAACATAGTTGACTTGTATGGAAGCGAATAAAAAAAAAAATTAATAATATCCGACTTAAACTAAAATTGTTAATAATTCTATTTTTCATGAAAAACTTCTACTCCGTTTTTACAAAAGACATTAAATTTGTTACTTAGTTGGTAAGCGAATTACTAAGAAAATATTTGCCACACTAAGTTTTTACTTCTCACACAAGTAATTAGACCTTTGAATATCGCTAGAATCGTCAACATTGCACCACTGAATTAAGGAATAATAACTAAGAGAAAGTACAGTAACAGCAGGGAACTTAATACAATTGTTTACAACAGTTACTGTATTGAGAGTCTTAAACTTGAACATAACTTTAATTTTTAACTACTTCACATAACAAATAAAAATTTAATTTGAACTATGGATAGCCTCAGCGTGTAAAAAATAATTAAACTTCTTGAAGGAAAAAAATCGTCGATTTAGCGAAGCTTTTTCATTCGGACAGAAATTATTAAAATCAAATTCACTGAATTCTGTATTTTTGCACATTTATTATGCACTCAAACAATGAAGTGTTGAATGCATCGTTATATTGACGTGTAGCGTCTTTTTCATAATTAGCGTACGTGGCCCTGGACAAAACATATTCAAACAATAATGAACGAATAACTCGCAAACACATCAGTTATAGAAAATGTAACAGTTTTAGAATAAATGGCATGCTATTCGCTAAAGCCTTGCGTTATAAGATGAACGAAAATTCTCGAAACAGCGCCCCAATTTTTTTTCCGGTTATGGAACCCTAAATAATCAACCTTCTTTTAACGGAACCCCGACTTCATAAATAAAGTTTATTATTAAGGTAATTGTGAACGTTATAACCTAAAGAAGACTTTAATAAGTGGAATGAAGACTTTTTTCATTGTTATAATCTTAATGTAGGTTTTATATCCGACAATTAAATTTGAAGTCCTTGTGTTCCATTTAATCTAGTTAAGAATTTGTCTTTAATGTATATAAATAAGCTGAAAATTAATAAAATAATTCGAATCACGTTACTTAAAAGAACTGCCACATACGTTGAAAATGATTATTAGGGAAAAATATTTATTTCATTTTAATTTAGTTATTTTATTTTGATTTGAAAAGCGCGATAGTAATGCAATATTTTATAAATGATTGTTCTTTTCATAAGTTTTTCAAAATTTATTTGAAAATTTTCAGTATTTATTTGAAATATTATATTTTCATTTAAAAATGCCCTTTCTATTTCATTGGCATTTTACTTGATATAATTTCACAAAGGCAACTGGAAGATTAAATAAATTATGAATTATAGGTTGGATCTAAATATAATCTGAGGGTTTAAAACCTATAAGAAGTACTAACTCATGGAACCTTTATGTTCAGCGGAACACCATTTGGGAATCGCTGATCTAGGATCTATACAGCATAATTATAATTTTAAAAGTTTTAGAATGTTACAATTACTTTCTTTCAGTAAGATCTTCGATTAGAATTAGTAATCAAAACTATATTCCCCTCCCCCTAGAGTGTATCAAATCTAGACATTTTTGTTTAACTTTTCAATGACCTATTTTAGTCTAATGATACGGTTTGCTTTAAAAATAAATTTGAAACTTCCAGTTGGGAATAACAAATTCAAAAATGCCAAGGATAAAAAAAAGTTATAAAATTGAATGAAACAAAAAGAGACGTTGTGGCTCATTTGTAATCAAAATATGAACCGTTATTTTTGAAAGTGGAATAAGTCNTCTAACTTTAAGGTATCAAAAACCGAATATCATTTTCGTTTTTCTATAAAAACGAAAGCTCTGTCGATTCAAACGAAATCGCCCATTCAGCGAAGAAAACGTCGAAGTAGCAAACGTTGGCGATCAAATAGCAACCCTTATGTTTACTTCCACTATCAGTTCTCGTTGAACAGACTATAGTGTAGCATTTTTGGTGTTTCATCAAATTATAGTGTTAAAAGCATCACCCAAAACTGAACCACTTTAGCCGACATTTTAAAATTTTAATCTTTATAAGTCTCCGGCTAAGCCACTTTCCAAATGGACCCATTTCACTTTTAAAAATAACGGTAATAACGATTTAATAACGATTTTCGAAACAATTTTATGCGATAATCTCAATTTGTGTGCAGTCCCCAAATCAGGAAGTTAAATAACAACGAAAAAGATTCACTTTCCGCAAGTGTCGAGTGATAGCAATCATGATGCTATTCTAATGCATCCGTGGATTTCAAGCACGGACAAACTCGTGATTTTTATTCACCCACACAAAAGGAGACGATGAATTATTTACCTCACATCCCTGAATACATTTAGTTTCAAAAAATGATATTATCGCCTTTAACTATAACCTGTTTAGTTTAGTTTAGACCTTCGAAAGGCATTCTTTTTGTTCAGCAATGCTTAGTTAGCACTTCCTTCCATATCAAACTAAACTGATCTTCCAAGACAATTTGCAACATAAGATTACATTACCATGAGGGGAAAAAAAAATCATACGTCAGACCTACCTAGATCAGAATATTTTCATGTATTTAACTTCTCCCTTTTCATTCTTTGCTTTATTAAGTGTGAAATAAAAAATAAAAAAACTGCCGACAAAGAAAATGCATCGACATGTTCGGTATTTTGGAGAGAAATAACGAATCTATTTTGTTTTGTCACAATCAGAGATGGGATGGAAAATGTGGACTCTTATAATTCTTCTGGACTAGTTTGGTGCAACAATTTAACCAGCGTAAATAATATGTCATCCATGAAATCTTTATTAAACCACCTACATCATTAGTTTTACTTTTGCAATAAGATTCTAATCTTTTTTTAAAAAAAAGTTAAGTGAAAAACGTCTGCTTGGTAAAAATTTGGTTACATTTTCTTTTTATCCATTCAGGTCTTCTATTCATCGGAAAGAAGCAGCAACTACCCAAGCTCGCACGCTCTGACAGTAAACGTACTAATACGACAAATTTTATTTCATTTTATTTTATAACCGTCGTTGAACAACCGAAACAATTTTTTGAGTTTAAGACTACTAATGTTCAACTCCGTAG